ATTATCGGAACTATAAAATTAATTGTGTTTAATTGAGTTTAAACCGTAACTGATTTTTGGGTGATGCTTGGTTCGTGGGCTTTAAATACAGGGATCCGTTAAAGCCTAGTACCATTACGAGATTTTCCATAGTATGTGACCAATCAAAGTTGCGAATTTTTTTGTTTACACGGATCAGCCCGACGAAGCCCGACGAAGACAAAAAAAGTAAAAAATGCGAAAAATACAAGAAACCTATCTTGATTTATTAAGAAAAAATGTCGGGGAACGATTTTACCTATAAGAATTTTATAACCTTAGCCCATACGGACCCTAACCTGACCCTAACCTTAACGTAAATAATTTTTTAATTAAATTTCGTAACGGTATGGCACCCGGTTCCCCAAATACAGTATGTAACACGATCTTCGATGCGGGTAATCGCACCCGATTACTGGACTAATTAGTGATCGCCTAAAGCTAATGCATAATGTTATACGCTAGCACTAATTAATTAATATAATTAATACGTATATAAGTTGATCCATTTAGAGGCAGGTCATTCTTAATTTTTATTTTTATAAACTGATTTGTATACTATTAGTACTGATGTTATTAAAAGAAATAAGTCAATGGATGTTAAGAAACCCCCACGATGACATTTCGTTATTACAATTCGAATTCAGCATGTGACAAATGGCGTATAAGCCAAATTCTCCTAATTAGACAACTACCCAATCAGTATATGAAGCGGAAATTAGTAAATTTTGTACGACCATTGTACGATATTTGGTTGGACAAAAGGTTAAAAGATTTTTCTATATAAAAAAAAATCATTCATCAAAATGTAACTTCTTAACGCAATGGACGAAAAATTAAAAGCCCCTACTAATAATCCACTCCTACTTCGTATTCAAACTTCTATTGCTTCCCTACGTTTAACCACCTATGCAAATTATAATCTATTACCTATTAACCCAACACAATCTAACTTTAGACATCGACCATCGAGGTCTTTATTCTTTCATTTTATAAAACGTAAATGGGGATATTTAAGTTTTGGTTTACTCATATTTATAATAGTAATAGTACGCATCCAACTTAAAAGGAGTATTGATCCTTTTGAAGAAACTCCTGCAATAACTGGGTAAGTATCATTTATTCGATTATTGAATAACTTTTCTAATCTAACTCGTCATAATAATTTGAGTGATCCAAAAAGATAATTGCAAATAATGTTATACATATCAGATATTCATTGTTGATTTTAATCCTGGTTAGGCCACCTTGAATCGGCAAAAAAAATAATAAACTCTTACAATAGCATCAATAACATCAATATCATTCTATAAAAAAAAACAGGCAAATAAATTCATATTTACAAGTTTTTTTTTCGTTACTGAATTGATTTTATTTGTTCTCTTTTTGTTGATCATATATTTTAATTAGTCATTCTCAACCACAATCTCTTCCTCCTCCACGACCACGTCCAGTGTTTTCAACTTTTACTGATAATTATCCAAAACAACTTGCTATTTTAATCGTACCATCCTCTAACGATTCAATTGATACATATAGTAAGACAATAGTAGATACTTGGGGTGCTGTGGCAAGAAATGATAAATCTTTAAGTGTAGATTTATGGTTTGCCTCTCCGGATGATACTTTAAGAAAATTTGGTTGGCCTAATGTTCCTGGTTTTGAAGATAAAACAAAGTTAGAAGATAAAAAATCAAAAGGAAAAGGCAAAGATAATTCTGATGAATCAGAAGATAATTCTGAAGATTCTAAAACTTCAAAGAAAACACCTGAAAAAAATAAGCTTAAAGAAATGATGAGAGAGCTTGTAGAACAAACCATGGTTTTCCAAGAACCTGCGGAATTAAGTCCTGAACAAAAGTCTTTTAGAACGGTTACTAAAGTATGTTCTTATATGTTATCATTATAAATTTATAATTTTTTAAATTCATAAATTCATAAAATTTATAAAAATTTCTTTATCAATTAGGCTCTCCATTTTCTTTATGCATATCATCTTGATCATTACAATTATTTTTTAAAAATTACAGATAAAACATTTGTTCGTTTACCACGTCTCCTAGAATTACTTTCAAAAACCACACGTAAACCTCGACTAATAGGTCGTCCTGATAATGATTATGAAACTAATGTAAAATTTTGTTGGGGAGGTTCAGGTTATATATTAAGTAAAGATCTTTTAGCTATTATAGGTCCACATTTACCTTTTTGTCTTGAAGATAAAACAATTACTGAAGATATAGCAATGGAAAGATGTTTATTTAATAATGTTCCAACTTTTATTGGTTGTGAAGATTTTACTAATGGTACAGGTCATGAATTTTTATATTTAAGATCAGATGATGAAACTAATTGGTCAAATATAGTTCATCCTGAACGACAATTTAGTGATGGTTATCTCGGAGGATGGACTTTTGCTGATTCCATAATAGTTGGTGGAATTACAGATGTTAATATATTAAAAGATTTACAATCTTGGTATGGTCCAGGTGGTAAATATAAAAAAATAATTGAGAGGCGGATGATGTTACTTAGAAAAAAATTAATGAAAGGGACGAATAATAATAATAAATTACATCATGGCAAGTTATAAAAGGGAGTACATAGTATGAATTTACGTAATAAAGAGCTAGTTTGTATTCACTTTAATTTTCTTGTAGTCACTTAATAATAATTAATGTATAATCTGTTACTTGTGTTGATGGTTTTTTTTTTTAAATCCCAATTTAGATTTTTCTTTTTTTTAAATACAGTACATAAAATTAATAATTCATTTCGTTCACAATAATTTCACAATAATTTGTGATTATAAAAATTTATTGATCAAAAAATATAAGTTTACAAAACATTTACCTATCAATTCATTTCTCTCGATTAATTGATTCATTCATTCATTCAAGTTCGAAAATATTAACATTTAAACTCGAGGGTGCGAGTTCAATCAGAATCTTATCAGTTATTAGTGGTATATTATTCAATGGTATATGACGTATTTTCTTTTAAACATAGCAATTAACTTACAAGATATAACGAAGTTTTTGGTTGCAAACTATGAAATGACGCTCCAGAACCCAACGGATCCCGTTTTCTAGCATAAAAAAATATCATAGAATCAATTATTTGTGATTTCTCGGTTTATTGTGGAGTTAAAGTCCTGTGGTGTTTTAATAAAATTCATAACGATAGAACGTGGGATAAAAAGGATCCTCGTGATTTAATGATTACTGTTATCGATATTGATCAAAATAAGTTCGGGTAAATTTTCGCAGTTAATAAATTAATATGGTTAGATAGTAATATTAACAATACTTGCATTATTCTTAGCGTTAGTTACTAAGTCTCGTTTTAATCATTGTATATCTGTATATGGGTTGGCTTGAAATGACCTCACGGGACATAGTAAACCATATGATCAAGCTTAAATTTAGGGGGCTTATAACGACACAGCATGCACGTGACTTATCTCCGTTATCGGCACAGCAAATGATCGGCACTAAAAATTAAAGTTTCTTTAAACTTTGAACGAAGGTATCTTAACAACCATCTAAA